ATCCCAAACTGGTTTACTCATTTTGTTATGCTTAACATAATAGGCTACTTGAAAAATAAGAAATGCTACTTTCTGTTTCTGTGTGGTATGTGTATCCTTTACTAAAGAAGAGCCTATATACATATATACTCTATGTTCATATTTTCAATGTAACTTTTCATCACTCTGTTGCCTACTTCCCAAAAGTCATTAATTTTCTCTTCATTTTCTTTTCAGCACATTGTTGGTATTCATTGATATTTAACTTGTTAAAACTGACAGTTTGGAAACTACCAGTATTTATAGGCAGGACTTAAGCTTTTATGATAATATTTTTAGAGATTCACTTTAAAAGCAAAAACTTCCTATGTTGCATTTTAATCTTCCTAATTAAAGAAGGTACTGCCTTCATTATGTATTGTTTTGTTTTGTTTTTCTTTGTTTGCTCTTCCTAAGTGAGTAAGACGCCTTTTACATTTTCTTCCCTCATGGGGCTAACTTTGGCTTCCCAATAGTTTGACATAGAATCTAGAGTTGTAATATATATATCTAAATTCTTAAGAAAATAAAAATATGTGTTTCATTGATATTTTCATTAAAAATTCAATCAGAATAGCCAGAATTGAGAGTACAAGTAGACAAAATCCTTTGTATATGAAAAACAGAGTAGTCTGTTGGACCTAGCAGGTTGTTATAAGCTAGTAATACCATCTTTCTCAGAAGATTTTGTTCATCAGACACTCATTTTCTGAATTACTTCATTTGAGATAAATAATTACAGCTGTAAAAAAAAGTTTTTGACTACATTGTAAGTCCTTTAAAAAAAGTTTAAATTTGAATGGTAATTTTGCCCTTCATAAAATATGTATGTACTGGATCCAAGAAAAAATACTATTAAAATTCAGATTTATTGGGAGAAAAAAATTTCCATTTTCCTTTTATCACATTGAATGATGTATGATTTTAATATTGTGAAATTATCTGAAGTCTGCTATATGAGAAGACTTATTAAAACCAATTGAAATAGCTTAGAGCATTTTATAATTTGTCTGTAACTTATTCATAAGTCCACTGCCTAGAATGAGTAGAAAATATTCAGATGGCTTAATTCAGTAAGTTCTTAATGTGAGATATTTCAAAAGACCAGCCTGAAAGTAGTTCTTATTAATAAAGTCCACAGAACAGTGAGACTATATTTGCAAATTTAAAAAAAAACAGATTTTTGCTATAAGCTTTATTGTTTACATAAGATGTTCAGTTCACTCAGTTTCTAGTGATGTATATGTAGGTGACTTTGCTGCCCCACCTAACATTTTCATTTGATCTGTATTCTGACTGACTAGCAACATGGTTTTCACCTAACAATGATAAACTATTGATTTAATATAGAAATTTAATGAAATCTTTAGATAAGTAAGAAATAACTTAAATACTAATTTGAAGGACCCTTACCCAAGGGATCAACATTGCAAGGAAATAAAGTGAATTCCATCTTTAAAAATAATCTCTATTCTCTCATAGAGATATTCACAAACAGTGAAATATGCCTAAGGGAATTGGATGAAACAATTGCTTACTTCATCAGTCTATAATGATCTAGGTAAACGTGACCCAAATAACCAAGAAGAGCCTAAACTCTTGGCAGAATATGTTACCACTCGTAAGGATCTCTCTCATACTTACCAGGAGATTTCCAATGTACTCTGGGCTCCATTTGTAGATGATGTATTAAAATATATCAAGGGAGATTAAAAAGTAAAATTCATAATACCTAAGTTAAAGTGTTCTTATTAGAAATGCTTTTAGAAATGATGCAAGAAGTTAGAAGTATATTATGATTTTAATTACAAATATAGAATTAAGGTTGCCTTTCTCTTTAGGAAAGTGTTTAAAACATAAAGATAAAAGAAGTTCCCTTTTACTTTAGTTTAAAAAAGGCAATAGATATACATAAGTGAGTCACAGAAGAGAAAAGTTAAGTGGGGCATGCTTATATATAAAAAAGTTCATATAAAAATTCAAATAAAAATCAAATGCCATTTTCTCTATCAAATTAGTACATTTTTATCAAATGTACTATCAAATGTAATTTGATCAAATTAGTACAAAAAGTCCATTTTTATATAAAAATCTGGGAGATGTATAGGAAACAGACTCTCATATTATGCTGATGGGATGAAAACAGATATAATTTCCCTGGAAACCATATAGCAAATACATGACATGAACTTAAAAATGGTCATATACTTTGGTCCACTCTTACATCCCCATCTAAGGAGGTAATTAGAAATGAAATTAAATGCAAAGATGTTCTGGTTAGTATTACTTATATTATCAAAAATTAGAAATAATTTAAGAATGGTTAATTATTGTTTGAATATACTATAAAATTTTAGTTACCTGTTGGAGGTTTGGAAGATCATTTTCCAATATAATGGGATGAAAAGTAATCTACAGCATCAATTAGTTGTCAATTAATGCTATATGTATCACATGAAACCCTTCTTATAATAAATGTATAGTCAATGTTTATAACAACCTCATTCTTTCCAAAAGAAAAACAGTATACAAGTATTCAAAGTTGTACAACTGTAATTCTAGACCTAGATTAATCATTTATCTATACAGTATTTGACAAAAGAAATGTAATGATAATAGGGTTTCCCTGGTGGATCAGCTGGTAAAGAATCCATCTACAATGCGGGAGACACCTGGATCCGATCCCTGGGTTGGGAAGATCCTATGCCGAGGTAAAGGCCTCCCACTCCAGTGTTCCAGTCTGGAGAATTCCATGGACTGTATAGTCCATGGGGTTGCAAAGAGCCAGACAAGACTGAGTGACTTTTACTCCACTTCACTTCATTTAATGATAATAGGGCTTCCGTTTTTAGAACTGTGCCCAGCCATCACTGAAGATTCTAGTATTGATTCAGGATGCTGCCAGCTAGAAAAAAAGTGTTCCCGTGATTTATGCCAAAATACTGAGAAGATTTATTCATGAATAATTTGTTGATGTCAGGGATCGCTTGGGAGCCAGAGCAAGGTAGAAAGGAACCTGATTTGGACTCTGGAAAGCAGTAGGACATGTTCATATCAGTTCACATGCTGATACCTGTTGAACTAAAGGATATCACAGGATATCACAGGTTTTGATGCTTATTTCTGAAGCTAAATGTGATGTCAATCCAAAATGTGTGACTACAGGGATAATACTTTAGATGCCAACAACCACATAATTAATAAAAATGGTAGAAAAAGAGACACTAGTCATAGACTCCGTTTTCATTTTTAAGGAAGAACTATGTAATAGAATCCATGGTTATATTGAATTACCTTTTTAACATCTATTCTTAAACTTCCCAGGAAAAATAGGCTCACTTTATAATTAGTCATACTTATTTGATTGGCTACTGCTAACATTTGACTGATTCTGATACAAAATGGTCATTGGTATGTTAATTTGTAAGGTTTACTGTGAATGAACATATACCCTTCCTTATTTAGAGACAGAACTGCTCTGACATAAATACATTAAAAGTCTCTCAAGAATTCCCCCCCTTTCTTCTACCTGTTACAAGTGATCACCAAATGTTAGAGAATCAGAACATATGCATTTAAAAGAAGCAACACGCATCTAGCCCAAATGAAAAATTCAATTCCAAAAATCCAGTCTTCAAAATTTAGAATCAACTGGTTAACTTGTTTCTAGAATCTTCCATTTCCAAGGGATAGAATCAGCAGAACAATCTAAATATAAGTACATATTGCTATACACATGTATGCAAATATACTGTGCATGTAATCTTGGAAGAGGAAACATTTCTCTCATATTCACTAGTTTCTGGATGTCACAGTCTTAAATATTTGTTGTTGCTGTTTAGTCACTAAGTTGCATCTGACTCTTTTGCAACTCCACAAACTGTAACCCTCCAGACTCCTCTGTCCATGGGATTTCCCGGGCAAGAATACTGGAGTGGGTTGCCATTTCCTTCTCCAGGGGATCGTCCCCATCCAGGGGCCAAACCCACATCTCCTGTGTTGGCAGGTGGGTTTTTTTTTTTTTTTTTTTTAACCGCTGAGCCACCATGGAAGCCCAGGCCTAAGTATACTAGCTTGATATTTCAGATTCAGAAGAAATAATGTCTCCTAGAAGTGTTGGCATTTTTATATGTGAATACCTTTTGGGGTAAAGCTCAATTTACATATACTGCTTAGTACATAATCTATTTTTTTCCTTTAGTTGGGACAAAAGGCCCACATGATTACATCCATATGTTAATCAAGGGAAGTTTGTGCTACCTTTTTTATCCACTGTAGATGGACTACTTCATATGACCTTCTGAAAGGCTCATATATTGCCACTTCAATTCATCAACAGCTCTGAAATGTCAGTGTCACCAAAATTGAACACAGAGCTTCTTATTTTCTATAAATGTTGTCTCCAGGTGACATCAGCTGTATCTCAGACAAGGAAAAATACTGTTTGATTAAGCTTTTGATATCTTTCTTAAACAAAGGGCATTTAAAAACAAAACAAAACCAAAGAACAGAAATTGATCTTGGATCATGAACAGCCCAAACTAACATACTGAAGAAGATAAATGATGGTATTCAAGTTTTAACTGATTAATGATTGGTTTCTAGCTGCTACAGATCTTTCCTTTTTAAGAATTTATCCTTGAGAAGATCAGGAAAATAGTAACAAATATGTCATTCTCCAACAAATTGCTACTGCTTTTCTTTTTGAGTCCAGAGCACCTCCAGAAATATAAAAGTATAGCAGGGTCTCATGTTGGAATAGGATGACTTCATATGTGAAATAGATATTGGAAAAATGAATATTAAAAAGACACTCAGAGAAAGCACAAATCACTGTCAAAATATCTAAACACTTTATTTAAATTTATTGAAACAATCTAGTCTTCAAAATGGGCTAATACCAACTTTACATGATTTATTTTTATTTTTTATTGTATATGTTGCAAACTATGATTTAGAGTTGTAGTCTTTTTGTATTTCAGAATATGAAACCTCTCAATAATGTAGAAAATGTGACTTAATCTGCCTGGAATGTATCCATTTGTGTATATGGAAATCAAAATATGTTTCTACCTTGATCATGGATTATCTGGTTAAATTTAGGTAAGTTATCTAATATCGCAAGATGTAGTTTCCTATCTCTATTTTAAAAAGAGGTAATTCTAACTTTTAAAATTATCAGAACAATTTAAAAATTAAATGAGCTTTTTGCACTCAATATTTTGGTAGAAAATGTATTATTTAACTTATATACCTCTTACTCTCTCATAAATTATTTTATAACATCTCAGTTTGGGAGAGTACACTTATTTTTATTACCATATTTTCTGCTGTCAGCTACTTTCCCTGGTTACATGTGTGTTACTAAGGAATATTATACATCTGAAGGTGGGCTACAGTCCATTTCAGGATGGAGATAGAATGCTTGTATCTTTTAACAGTACACCATTCTAATTACTTCTCTTTGACTTTTGCACTAAGCCTTTCTTCTCTGGTCTGCTTCTATTATGTTATTTAACATTTACTCATTTCCAATGAAAAACTTAAAATGTCCCTTTCCCAAATTTACCTCTTATTCTATTTCTTAGATATATATACATCATATTCAACCAGTTCATAGCACTTATTTACATTTTGCATCTTTATGCAATTTTCAAAAGTATCACATCATTAATTTCCTGTTGGTTTAAGCTGTCTCATGGCACAGTGAAAGTTGAATTTTAGTCATGTGATAAGGAGATAGAGAAATCCTTAACTACACAGTCTTTGAGAAGCTGGGCTCTTCTCTGCCTCCACATTCACTGATTCTCTGAGATACTAATTATAATTTGCACATAGCAAGACCATCAAAATAGAATTGCAATGAACATTATGACTAGGCTAGGGTGGGGTAAGTTGAGGAGAGTTAGCTCAAAAACTGGATATTAATCCAGTATATTAATCAGTGAATCATTAAATCCTATTCTCTATCTGTGCTACATGGGGCATTGCTCATGCAGAGGCAGCTCAATTAATTCAGGATTCTGCAAGGAACTTTCCAACTTTGGGCAGAAAATGTTGACAAAATAAAAATTGTAGATAATTCATTTTTTCCCCCATACACTCATTTTCTCTTTTGAGAAAAAGTAAGCTCAGAAAATTGAAATTGCCTACACTAGTTCTGCCAGTTTTTACTCATTTGAACCTTGAATAAGTCACTTAATTTTTAGGATTTGAAAATATCCTTCTCTATAAAGTGTAGACTTTTGTGATGGTATCTGATTCCTGTCTTCTTCCAGTAAGGTTTTTCTGAATCCTAAGAAATTCTATACCATTCCAGAACTGAGAAGTGTCTCATCTTCCACAGAAAAATTCAGTAACGATACTTACTGAGAGCTTACTACTAGATTGCATTTGCTGTTTGCTGCCTTAGTCCCATGACATCCAGATGCAGTCAAATATGTTGATAGTCCAGGGTCTCTGTGGCTTTATCATTCCACTGTTGTGATCTTAAACAGATGGATTTTATTAAGTCTTCCCTACTAATGTATATGAGGAAGGAAAGGACTGTGACTGTTAAACTGTGATTCTCCAGGTGATTTAACATATATTTTCTGATGATTTTGGTGAAGCAAAGTATTCCAATCTGAATATGGTGTTGTGTTTTGGTCAATAATATGGGCTCTGGACAGAATTCAAATCCTTATTTACACTCTCCTGAAGTTTCAAGACTGAGACTTCACTGTGTTCATCAAACAATTCCATAGTTTCTCAGTAAGAATTAAATGAGAGTAAGTATTCCCCAACGGCTCAGCAGGTAAAGAATATGCCTGCAATGCAGGAGATGCAGCAGATGCGGGTTCAATCCCAGGGTCAGGAAGATCCCTGGAGGTGGAAATGGCAATCCACTCCAGTATTCTTGCCTGAAAAATCCTATGGACAGTGGAGAGCTGGTGGGTTACAGTCTAAAGGGTCACTGAGTTGAACATGACTGAGCATGCATACACTCATGTAGAATAATGCCTAGAATATATTTTAAAAATAAAATAAATGTTTGTCAGTTTTATGGCAAGTTAAATATTATTGTCAGATCTGAACACAGTTAGCAAATTTCCTTAAAATCTATTATTTAAATTGGAAGTCTGTTTTTTTCAGAGACTAACCTCCTGAGTGCAATATAACACATGGAGAAATTTTTGGCGGCTTGGATTATTAGCCTGATGCTCACCCAATTTGGATTCTTCTTCACTCACCTGATACTTAATATTATTCTGGAAACTTGGGGAAGGAATTCAGAGACTAAATTTTAAAATTTGTCTTCAAAATAAAAATCCACATAGACAACCCATTAGACTAGTAAAATCAATCCAACATAAAATAGAAACTACATTGAACATTGGAAGACATGAAGACATATTTCATAGACCCTAAAATATTGCTTCTCTAGTGAGTTGAGTTTGGTCTCAGCAAGCAAACAGTGCCCAAATGCTGCCAATGAGAGGCGTCAATGTGCTTGCTATAGAAATTCAGACATCTGTACAGTGAGAACCAAATAAACTTTTTCTCTGTGCATCGGAAACACCTGGTGGCAATAACAGTATTTAAAGTTTATCCGAATTTTAGAAGCTATTTATGAACATCATCTTAGAATCAAGTGACTCTTACCATACTGTTCAAAGCAAAAGCAAAGCAAGCAAACAAACAATAAGTTTCAGTTTGCAAGGTTCGTGTGAGCATTTAGAAGCATATGTATTTACTGGAAGGTGACTAAACTGAAATTCTCTTAATGAATCATAAATATCCAATGTCTCTTGGTAGATACTGTTACTTCTCTTTTCAAAGAAATCTATTTTTTTTTAGTAAAACTTTCAAAGATTGATTAATTTGAAAATTATCTTTCTCCATTTGACCACTGCCTTTCCAAGATCTATAAAGAAGCCTATAAATTACTAATTTCAACACTATCTCACTCGCTGTGAACTTTCCCCAGATCTAAGAAAGCTCTTCTCTAAAATTCTCCTTCCACAACAGGGTTCAGTAAGGGCACATGCAAAACAATTCACATATGACAGGAAAATCACAAATGCAAATACAAGCCAGCAAAAGGGTAGTTGAATGCCACTTACACTTTTAGAATAGTTCTTGGAATATCCAAGCTTTGTATTCAGTTAAGTAATGCAGTATTTAGAGAGGCAAATTAGAGCTGTAATCCAGGATTTAAAAATGAAATAAATTCTTTAACAAATTCATATAACCCACAAATCAGACTGCCAGATACACCTGTGAAAATGTGACAAATGCAAGGTTGCTTAAAACTAACTCAGCAAAAAATTTTAAAGCAGTTGGGCACTCAATAAGAATAGATTCTAGATTATAAATTACATCTTTATCTATTAAGTGTGATTCAAAAAACCTACCCATAAAATGTTCTATGTGATTTTATATTATCTTAAGATTTTATGTCTCTGTGGCAGATGTGCATTCTGAGATAGCTGTTATAAATATGCAATATTTTTAAAAAGAAGTTCTCTTTATAAATGTGATTACAATTATGCTTAATCATAATTACAAGAAATTAACCTTGATTACAATCAAATTTGTTAATTGTTTTGACTAAGAAGAGTTTCCATATATTGGCCCATATTTTACTACCCTAGTTTACTGTGGAAATTGAGAGAAATAACCAGAGAAAAGGGATAACAGGGAACGAAGAAGACAGTATGATTGTTGTCTCCCCAAATACCGGTTATTGTTGTGAAGATATCTGAAATATAAAAAATCCCCATTGCTGCCCTAGAATAGAATACATTTTGGCCATGTTCATATACCATCTCCATAATGCCTTCTCCATATCCTCAGAGAACAATGAACATCTGTTATAATAAAAAAAAATTACCCCAATAGTCACATTTTAGTTAACATTACTTAAGTTGTCATATAAGTGTTATCTGACTAATTAGGTGCATGCCAGATTATTGTACATCACTTAATTCAACAAGTTCATTCAGTGAAATACAATCATAACAAAATATTAATTAAAAAAAACTTTTTGTCAATGGAAGGCTATGATTGCTTGACTTTTTATTTTGACTAAGACCAGATTCCTTTGAGTTCTATAGTATTTGAAAACTCAGTTATCAGAAACTTTTAAATGCAGTCACTCAATAATTGTAACTGAGTCTCAGGTGACTTAGGACATCAAGTTATGAAATTTACAAATCCTGTTTCTTCTTCTTCATCCAAGAATCATGATTCTGGTCTAGAGTTTGGAGTTGAGAAGAAGCTTCTTCACCGGTACCTAGAATTGGGAATAGACCCTAGAGGTCATGTGTTGCATGCTTGCTCCATCATATCTGACTATATATGACCCCAGGGGCTATAGCCCCACCAGGCTCCCCTGTCCATGGGATCTCCCAGGCAAGAATACTGGTGGGTTGCCATTTCCTCTTCTAGGGGATCTTCCTGACCCACAGATTGAACTGGCATCTCCTGCATCTCCTGAATTAGCAGGTGGACACTTTACCACTGTGCCATCACCAGGCAAGGCAAATACTATTCACTGCACAGTCATGGTTTATAGACAAGAAAGATTACAAATTCAGACACTGAAGGGAAACTGCTGTATGGGTCACAAAACCAGCCTTTTAGAGGAGATAGAGATGGGACACATCTTACTACATTTTGGATATCTGTGCTGTTTAGAAGATGTGTGGGGAGGTCACTTGAAGGTGTCCAGGGAATGTCACTCAGGTGGCTCTGAAGGTGCATTTATGGCCTAGTAAAACCGTGAATGATGTGTACAGTGGGTGGCGAATCCAGTACTATGCTTTTTTTCATTTTCTATACTCTTATAATCTTATTTCTTATTGAAAGCATTTTAACTGTCTTAATAAAAATGTCAACAGAATCAGGGTTTTTTGTTTGTTTTTTTTTACTGAGGTTAATATGATAAGAAGACATTTAATAGTATTAATAAATAGTTACTGTATGTTGAGTACTTAGTATGACCTAGCCACTGAACTAAACAGTTTGAGCCCCATAACCAAGCAGTTATGAAGTAATACTGATTTGGGCCTCCCTAGTAGCTCAGACAGTAAACAATCCACCTGCAGTGCAGGAGACCT